CTACTCTTATGCTATTACCAAAGTTAAAATCCTTCTTGCCTCTGCACAGTTTCCCTCTTGAGCCAAGAGCTTATACTAGTTATCCCCTCCCCACCTTTTTTTAATGGAAAGAAGAAGGAATTCTTATTTTAGTTAAAAAAACTTTCCTGAGTGCAATAAAAGTAGTCAGAAGCTCTCAGGTTTGTCTCCCAGATGTGTATGTATTGTTTACCAGTAGAAATATTTTCGACTCTTTATCAGCCCGAATCTGAGCAAGGAAATAGTCTGTCCTTGACACATCCACAGAGTCCACATGCTTGGAGAGGACTGCCCATTGTCAAATTTCAGCGTCAATCTAATTTAAAACAAAAATGCATGAAAATATGCACTTTTCCAGTTTTTACAATACAAAAATACATGTATTTAATGCGCAATCTGTATGCTTCTTTGAGAACTGTATTGTAAAATTTGGACATGTGTGAAAACTGAAAGATAAATGCATTCTGATCTGCTTATTGGTCCAGGAACTGCAAATTAGATCAGTTCACTGAAAAATGCAGACTGAATAAAATTGCCAAGCATCTCTAGTTTTGCATCTTGGTAGAAAGCTCCCACCACTGCCAAATCTCAAATCCCAGAAACAAAGTTCCCAACCTATAATAAGGACACTGGGCACTCACCCCATTGGTGAGTGGACCAATTATTATTGTATATGCCCACTCTTGTGAAAAGCCAATCCAGGTTGAGTAAGACATAAATGAGTTTCTTCTCAAGAACAGGATTAACAGTTCCAGGAGAACAGGTGCATGACGTAGTGGACAGATTGTTTAAAAACACAAAAACTCCTCCTGGCAGAGCCTAGTTGGGGTAAAAGGTGTGGCACTCAAGCTGCTGTATGAGGCAGCCAGGAACGCACAAAGATACAACACATCATTTCAAGTGATTACAACCAGCTGCTTCAGCAGCTTTGGACTATCTCAAATTTGGAATTTAGGCTTGTGAGGGGAGGAGAAGGTGGCCTGGTTAAGTTTGTCAAACAGTAGAAAGCAGGCCCAAACGGGCCGTATTAATCAGACTTAGGGAATTTGTATAGAATTACTTGGGGCACGTGTGTGTGCCAAGAGTAGACCTTTGAAATTATTTGAGCTAAATTAGTCTTGTTCATTAAGTTCTATAGATCTACTCTGAGTAGGACTAGGATTGGCTACAACCTAGTGGGTTTATATTTTTGACTTAAAAAGTACCGTATTTTTCGCCCTATAGGATGCACTTTTTCCCCTCCAAAAATGAAGGGAAAATGTGTGTGCATCTTATGGGGCGAATGCAGGCTTTTGCTGAAGCCTGGAGAGCGAGGGTGGCCAGTGCACACCAACCCCTCTCGCTCTCCAGGCTTCAGGAAGCTATCTGCTAGCCATGGGAGACGCAGCTCTCCCACGCTAGCGGAGACCTTGCCGGCACCCAGAAGCTTGGGGCGTGCTGAGCTCAGCACGCCCCAAGCTTGGGGCTTCGCGCAGTGCTCCGCTAGCCATGGGAGAGCCGTGCGAAGTCACGCGGCTCTCCCACGGCTAACAGATAGCAGCCTGTTCTGGGGGCTGGGGTCGGGTTCTTTATTTCCCCCCAAAAAAACTAGGTGCGTCCTATGGGCCGGTGCGTCCTATGGGGCGAAAAATACGGTATGTTGTGGAATCATCAACATATTAAATACAAACACAGGTTCTGCATTGGGGGAGCAGGTTCCTTTTTTTGCACCTCATGCCATCAAGCTTTGAGGCTCATAATTCCAAATCATGTCTCCCCCTCCTCAGTTTAAACTATTTAAGTTTTTGTCATACTTTGATAGAATGTTAATGGCACATTTTTCTTCTCAGTAAGCGAATTGGCAAGAGACTTTTCTTTACACTTCTTAAAAATGAAACAAAACCAAACAGCCCACCAGATGATCCAGAGGCCCATGGAAAGATTTTATCAACTAACTCATTCTTAGGCATTTAGCTCTGTCATATTTTCAAACATAGTCAAACGTATTTTCAGACATATTTAGGTGGATGAATAAAAGGCTGTGCATAAAGTCTACAGACCACAACTCCATCACTGCCTGAATATAAAATATGGGGGTCAAATGGGGGGGTTGCCTTTGGATCAGAGGTCCAGCACGAGCTGCACCACTGCTCCAGACAGACGCCGTCAATCAGGTGGAAAGTATTACCCATGAGAAGGGCAGAGAGTGTGTTATTGAAATACAGAACAAACAAGAGCTCGTGAACTCAGACCTTGCAATGTCTAACCTCAGATCATAGTTGCCCAGAATGCTGAAATTCTCCTGCTGTTGTTTGGCTACACATTCTCATCCTATAAAATCATGAAGAATATTAAGTTCATTTTGCTATTTCACATTCTCGTCATTTATTTGAAACATTTCTTTTATATTCCTCAATAGCTAAACTACATAGGGGGAAAATGAGTGGGTGAGAATGAAAGTCCTAGTATAAACCAAACTCAGATTAAAGGCGTGAATGAGAGCAGGACCTCATTTGGGATTGGGCTTTGTTTATGTCTTTCAAGAAAATTTATGGATGAGATGAAGCAGTTGTTTATATTGATTGTAAAATGAAATGCTTTTTTCCTTTCAGGCATTGCTAGTAGCAACAAACCACAGAGGCATTGGTTGAAGTCTACATGGCATTTCTCCGCATTGTTTGTGAACTGGGCTGTATATGTGGAGTACACATAACCTTAAAAGGAAGAGGACGGCAGTGGAAAGTGGCTCAGTAAGGGTTTGGGAGACATATCTTAAGTGGGAGCATGGAAGCAAATGTTAGAACTAACATTTGCAAGGCAAAGCTTCTGGCTGCAAAGGGGTATTTAGAAGCTATTGTTGCTTTCCATGCATCTTTGAAAACTGAACTAGACAGTTAATTAGGAAACCAATGAGATATCAAATACAGTGGTACCTCAGGTTACATACGCTTCAGGTTACAGACTCCGCTAACCCAGAAATAGTGCTTCAGGTTAAGAACTTTGCTTCAGGATGAGAACACAAATCGTGCTCCAGCGGCATGGCGGCAGCAGGAGGTCCCATTAGCTAAAGTGGTGCTTCAGGTTAAGAACAGTTTCAGGTTAAGTACGGACCTCCGGAACGAATTAAGTACTTAACCTGAGGTACCACTGTACCATCCATTATTAAGAACATATAATGAGCTGCAACAATGATGGCAAACGTGAATAAATACAGCATTAACCAGCTGTTCAGACTCCGTTTTTGTTAAGTGTGTTCCTAATGGCCAAAGATGATTAAATATTAATAAGTGGCTATCTTGTTAGACATAAAATGAGGTCTACAGAGCTCTAGTTTTATGGAGTGTCGTTTAGAAATTGAAGTCCCAAGTATAGCTTGGCAAATGCATTTCAGCTGCTCCTAAAGACAAAGCCCAGGGAAGGAACAAGAAACCTGCCTTTGAGAACCTCACTTATTGGTAAGGGGATTGAACAGTGGAGTGGAAGTATTGCCAGAAATCAAGGATTTAGCATTCAAGCACCCATTAGAATCTCAGCTGTTCAAAGAGATTTCTAGGCCTTATACTTCTGGAGATTGACTGTTGAGAAATATAAGCTAAGGGATCTGAAGCTACAGGGATAAGCTTGCCCGGGGTGGGGGGGAATGAGAGTTTGTTTCACTTTTCACAGATTCCTGTCCCCACAGCTGGTCATACCATTAGGCAGAGTGAGGCAACTGCCTCAGGCGGCAGATGCAGGAAAGTCATGGTGCTTCTCAGCTCTTGCTGCTGAGCTCCCTGACTATACCCTTTGGTTGGAGGCTAGCACTGTGTGCCAGGCACCTTGCCCTCCACCGCTATCTGTCTACCTACTGATCTCTCTCAGGGGCAAGGCTGTGTCCCATTGCTAGTACTGAAGTAGGATTCACTGCTATAGGTGGATTGGGTGCATGTGTGTGCCATTTTGTCCTTTGCCTCAAGCAGCAAAATGTCTTGGGTGGTGCTTATTATATGCTCTGCCCTCTTCCTAACAGCCTGGGAGCAGCTTCTATGTGACGCAGTTTCACACTGCAAGGGTTCCCATATGAATAATGCAACAGCATAGGGTAATCATGGAAGTCTTTTCCAGGAAGAACTGGTTAGCACTCCTGGTGGAATGTGAGAAAGACCACAAATATCCCAGCCCAAAGGGTTGTGTTAGTCATACATATAGCTCTGTGGTACATGAAACAATGTCTTAAATGACTGTGAGAACACATGGAAGTGGCCATTTCTGCCATCTCTCTTGATTTGTATCTCAAATCAAATTGCTCTTGATTGACACATCTCACGGAATAATAATTGACATTTGCAAAATGTGTAGATTTTGCATAATATTTTTTTCTGGGAAGCTTGTAGAACAAGACATTCCATTTTTACAAAATGCTAGGTTCTTAAAAATCTGAATTAATGGTCCTGCTTATAAGACAAGCAAATGTACACATTCTGAACCAATTAAGGGTTGATGTGCACCAGATTAGTGACATTTAGCTTGTGTAGCAATATGGGCCAGGAACTTGGATGCTCTACCTGGAGTTAATAAACCATGTTATATCCCTACTTAGCTATGAAGCTCATTGAGTGGGCTTGGGCAATTTGCTCTCTCTTAGCCTATGAGAGGATGTTTGTGAAAGCTGGGTTTTTGCGGAGCTGCCATGACACTCAGCAACAGCTTGCTGGGTGCTGTGGAGTGCTTCTGCCAGGAAGAGACTCAGAACCTTCTTTCAGCCAGTTAAGCAAATAAGCACACATTTGCGTGGCTTCCCCTCTACCTCTGCCCAGTTCTGTGCTGGATAACCACTTTGTGTGATGCCAATACAGTGCATCTTGTGAACGTGGCTGTTCCATATTTGAGGACATTGGCTGTGTTGTTTTGATCCAGTGTGTGCTAGATTTGTTTGGAACATTGGCACACAATGGATAAAACTGCAGTCATCAAACCACTTTTTTTAAATGAAAGTGTCTCTAAAACAGTATCCTCCAAGCAGTGCTATATAACCCAGTGGTAGAGCATCTGCTTTGCATGCAGAAGGTTCTAGGTTCGATCCCTGGCAACTCCAGGTACAGCTGGGAGAGACTCCTGCCTGAAATCCGCAGCTGTATCACGGTACGTTGTATGTACTGCACAAGGTGATAACATGAGGTTCTTCAGCCATCATTTTGCATAGCTTGGCATCTTCTGTGCACCCTGGGAGTGGTGGCAGCAAGCAAATAATTGGTGAGGAGAAGCAGAATTACTAGAGATGTCTCATGGGTTGCAATCTGTGTTCCCATGTTAGCTTTTACATCTGGTGTGCCTCTGCTGTTTTGACTAGAACCATGTGGTTACATTCCTGGCAACCTTAGCTGTGATTATATCTAATTATTTTCAAATGTTTTAAAAACAATTTTGTATTGTTCTGCTGTTCTGCTGTGAAAATTAGTATGTCTTTTTCCTTATTAGCCTACCATGGAAGCAAACGAATTTTCAAGACACCTTGTGTATTAAAAGCCAAGGTAATGGCAATTGGTAACCATAAAACAAGGCAAAATTTTAAGCATATTAATAGATATTAGCTCCATGAGATCAGAAAGGATCAAAAGTGAGCATATTCCTAAACTAAAGATATGAAGATATCCTTGTTATTTGCACTCACTTTTTTTCCCCTTGGGATACAGTTGTTAAAAATATCTGTCCAGATTCAGAGACAGCTTCTGAAACAGCCTCACAATACAAATCATTTTACAAATTAACAGATTCACTGCAACTCCCCACCCCTCACTAAAAACCAGAAGCTGAATCAGGCTTGAGATGTTTCTCATGAGGAGATGAGGATCTTCAACTGGGTGTCAAGGGAAAAAGAAGGTTAACAATAGTTCAGAGACACTCGGCCAGGTTATGTTATGTTATGTTTCCTATACTAGGAATGTCAGGGTGAAATTCGTGATTGGATTTTGCTCCATATTCTCACTGTCACTTAAAGGTTATGACACACCATCAGCATAGTGTCAACAATGGAAGAAATCATCTCCAGCCATTCAGTCATGGCTTTGTTGTGATAGCAGCATCACCAAAACAGAGCTTAGCAAATAAATGTCCATGACCCACAAAGCGTTATATTATTCCCCTCTGCTAAAAAAGAAGAAGAACTTAGCTTTGAAAAGGCTGGAGAAGAAACCAGCCCACAGTCAGTATTCTTGTTTTCTTATATAAAACAGCCCATAGTTTCTAACAGAGAGCAACGTATATAGGGAGGGACGTAGTGTTGTGTTTGTCCCACATGTATTCAGTGAGAGGACTGGGATCTTTTGTGTGGAGCCAGTACGAGCATTCACTAAAAATGTGTGTATACTCTTTACCCTTATGTATAAGAAAGAAGTTCACACACCAGTGAAATACAGAAAGTTTGGTTTATTTCACGGAAATAAATGAGACAGAATATATTGATGCTGTGTCAGACATCAAGGTTACACATTTGTGGGCAGGAAATCAAACAGTGCATACACACCTTAATTATAAGAGAGAGTCCCTAACTTCCCAAACCTGAAGAGTAAACATGAAAATCTGTCACAGTACCCACAATAAAAAGAGAAGAAAATAAGGTATACCTGTTTTAAAAGCACAAAGGGAACTGTGCCACCCATGAGAATTAAGTACTCCTGTTCAGAATCCTATGCCAGCAAGGCAATGGCACCTCTCACCTGTTTCTTGGTCCGTGGCCCAGCAAAGTCCAGGTGTGATCCTTGAGATCGCAAAGGGGGCTTGTTAGAGGTGTGAGCTACCTGGCTGTTGAACGTCTGGGGTTTGAACACAATTTTGAGCCAACTCAACTCTATGGAGATGGAAGGAGGGCTTCCTGAGTGACTGAATAAGGTTGCATCTGAAGCCCTTGAAGCATTGTTTATTTCCTACAAGTTTACCATTTTGCTTACTAAGATAAGTTTGAAGCTGAGGGAACTTGACCTTAGTTTGGAGTAACCAAAATGGTTCTTCATCATCATAAATTTCTTGTACCCTACACATCTGACTGGGTTGTGCCAGCCACTCTGGGCCGATTCCAACAAAAATACAGGGAGGGAAAACCACCAACATTAAATATTAAAAACTTCCCAAAACAGGGCTGCCTTCAGATGTTTACAAAAATTTTCTAGTTGCTTAATTGTTTGACATCTGCCAAGAGGGCATTCCATTGAGTGGGTGCAACTACTAAAAAAGCCTTCTGCCTCTTTCCCTGTAATTTTATTTCTCACAGCGAGTGAACTGCCAGAAGGCCCTCGGAGCTGGACCTCAGTGTTCAGGCCGAGTGGTAGGGGTGGAGACGCTCCTTCAGGTATACAGGGCCGAGGTTGTTTAGGGCTTTAAAGGTGAGCACCAACACTGAATTGTGTTCAGAATGTACTGGGAGCCAATGCAGAGCTTTTAGGACCAGCGTTACGTGGTTATGCCACTCCCAGTCACCAGTCTGGCAGCCGCATTCTGGATTAATTGTAGTTTCCTAGTAGCTCCACAGAGTGCCTGGCGTGCTCTGGTCCATGGGGTCACGAAGAGTCAGACACAACTAAACGACTAAACAACAAAAGTAGCCCCACATAGAGCACATTGCAGTAATCCAAGTGGGAAATGACCAGAGCATGTACCACTCCGGCAAAGAAGGTAGTGTTTCAGCCAGTGTACCAGATGGACCCGCACCTCCCTGGAGAGCTGTGAGTCTATAATGACCTCCAGTCTACGCACCTGGTAATATGTAGCAAAGTTACCCCATTCAGGACGAGGGAATCCCCACACCTTCCTGTCCCCCAGGGGATTCTGTCTTGTTCGGATTCAACCTTGATCCATTAACCACCCTCCAACCACTTCCAGACACTCATACAAGACATTCACTGCCATCACTGGTTCCAATTTAAATGGGAGGTAGAGGTGAGTGCCATTCGCATACTGATGAACACTCAGCCCAAACCCCCTGATGACAGGGGCGGGTCTACTATGAATAATAATATAATAATAAATTTTATTTATATCCCGCCCTCCCCAGCCGAAGCCGGGCTCAGGGCGGCTAACAACAATAAAACAGTACAAAAGTACAGCACAAACAACACTCTAAAATCATTCATTATAAAATTAATTAATTCAAGCCACTGGCAACCATTGGGCCAGAGCTCCGCGAAGATTGCCGAGGGAGGGAGTCAGGCTGTGCCCTGGCCAAAGGCCTGGTGGAACAGCTCTGTCTTGCAGGGCCCTGGTCTCTTGTGACAGAGTGTTCCACCAGATCGGAGCCACAGCCGAAAAAGCCCTGGCTCTAGTTGAGGCCAGCCTAACTTCTCTGTGGCCTGGGACCTTCAAGATGTTTTTGTTTGAAGACCCTAAGTTCCTCTGTGGGACATACCAGGAGAGGCGGTCCTGTAGGTACGAGGGTCCTAGGCCGTATAGGGCTTTAAAGGTTAAAACCAGCACCTTAAACCTGATCCTGTACTCCACTGGGAGCCAGTGCAGCTGGTATAGCACCGGGTGAATGTGATCTCGCAGCAAAGACCTCGTAAGGAGTCTCGCTGCAGCATTCTGCACCCGCTGGAGTGAAACTAATGAAGCTTCACCTTCAGGGCCCCTAATCCTGGAGGGCTCCAGAAGTGATTTTAGTCCACATGGCTTCACAATCTTTGGTCTAGTGGACCCAATTTGCATTGCACAACTCCAATTGATTATTTTTGTTGTTGTATATAGCTCAACAATTCACAAGTTTGAGGGTCAGTAGCACAACATTTGAGGGTCAGTGGAATATCACGGTAACTTGAAAACTATGACTTTGACATGTGAAATATTCCAGTGCAGCAATTTTAATCAAAATCTGAGATGTGGTAGTTTATTTGTTTTTTAAAGTGATCTGCCATGGAACAGCCCCACAGAAGACAATAACAGTGGTTACCCAGACCTCATTGCTGGTTGTGAAGGGGCCCCCAGATCTGTTCAAGCTTCAGGGTCCCAAAAACGTAGGTCCGCCACTGCCTGAGGATCTCTCCCAGCACCTTCATATAGATGTTAAAAAGCATGTGGGAGAGGGCAGAGCCCTGAGGCTCCCTACAAGTGATTGCCCAGGGGTCTGAACACTCATCCCCCAACACCACTTTCTGGACACGGCCCAGGAGGAAGGAGCTGTACAGCAGTGCCCCCAGCTCCAAACTCCTGTAGACGGTCCAGAAGGATGCCATGGTCAATGGTATCAAAAGCCGCTGAGAGATCCAGCAGAACCAGTAAACTGTTTTCACCTCTGTCCCTAGCCCACCAGAGATCATTGAACAGTGTGACCAAGGCAGTTTTGGTCCTATGATGGGGCCTGAATCCCGACTGGAAGGGGTACAAATGGTCCACATCCTCCAGGTATGCCTGGATTTGTTCAGCGACCACCCACACAATCACTTACCGGATAATAAAGTTACTTTTGAAAGAAGATTTAATTGTGAAGTCTAAGCATAACATAGCTTGAGAGACTGCCTTCTCCCTATCCCTTATGTTATCATACACACAGTAATGGTCATATTGTTCTGCAGGAAACCTTTCTCCACATCAGAAGCCCACTCCACAGTAAGTCTAAGCAGCATATGATAGAGTTATGACAGGCACCCTCTAGCTGCACTTTCCAGAAACAACAGAAGATATTTCTTTTTTTAACAAGCACTTCCAGCTGCATGAAAATGTGTTCATTTTGTGGTGGTGGTGATGATGATGATGATGATGGTAATTTCACAAGTCTCTGTTAGGATAACAATAAAAAGTAGTGTCAGAATAGTTGCACACTTTTGCTTGGTACCCTCAGAATTCTTCACCCCCTCCTACCCAACCAGGCTCTCACAATCACATTCAAACCATCCTTTCCCTTCCCTCCCTCCCTCCCTCCCTCCCATCTACTTACCTGGCTGCAGACATCAGTGGCAGAAGTAGGAGTTCTCTCCTGGCTTTGTGTCCAGCACACGTCTGTGTAACTGCCAGGCACAAGCAGACCTGAGAAATTAAGTTTTCCAAAGAGCCAGTGCAGCCAAGGGCTAAGAGACTTCTCACTGCTCCCATGGCTGTTGGAGCTGGCAGCTAAATGGAGGTTGGATGGAAGACTCAACTAAGGGCTTACCTGCACTTGGAGGAAGGGTCGCACTAATGACATAATCAGGGGCATGATGGGGTCCAGTTTGGCCAATAATTGGTGTCAGAATAAACGGAGAATGTGACAAGTTTGGGGGAAACAGTTCCATTTTCTAAAATTGCCCAAGACATTGAAGCTAGATCAGCCCTGGGCTAATCTAGAAAGACATTATTCCCATTAAGTGAACCAATGCCCAGAGTTAGTCCTCTAGATTTTTGCCTCTACCTGTCTAGTTGTGTTTTAGGGGCTGTCCCATAACATTTACCGTATGTTTAGGATTTTTACAACATGGACAAGTGTAATGCTGCATTTGAGGAATGATGTTCTTTAGTTGGACAATTACTCAGTTCTTCAGAGAGAAAGTATATCAATCAGTAGAGAACTAGAACTGCCTTGCTTCATCTCACTTTTGCTTAGCAAGGCCTAGGGAGTGTCAGGAAGTAGATGGATCACAAAGGAGATGGTTGGGTCCCTCTTTTGTCATTCTTCTTTTCTTGTCTATATGAGTCTTTTCCCCTTGCTGGTAGTCAGTGAACCTAAGGATCAAAAAGTGCTTGCTTTTTAGTGTTCCTCAGATTATCAACAAAAGCTATCAAAGCAAAGCATAAGATCTCAGGCTCCCAGAGACTTCTGAAGGTGAAAAATAGCATCTAAAATGAAAATAATGTCCTTGAAGATTTATTTTAATCAAACATTTTCAGCTCTGACTGGGAGGTTTAGAGGCTGATCCTGCCGATTGCCTAGTGCTCTTATCTCTTAGAGAATGAGAATCTGTCAGAGCTCAGGGACTTCTAGAATTGAGTCCTTCACCCTCCATTGATTTATACACATATACATGCATGTACACACACATGCACACACAGTTTTCAGATACATTGGAAGCCGGCTAAATTTGTCCACAGCTTTTATTCACCTTTTTGTATAGCATTGTCATCTACTTTATTTAAGATAATCAGTTTGCAAAGCAGTTTAGGAGAACACTTCCTTCGTAATGAACTCCAGCAAATGAATCAATGAAATTGCTAATATCATAATGCTGTTTTACAAATATATGGTGCAATTGCATTTGGAATTCTGTCTGGTCTGGCCACTGCATCTAACAAAAGGATATTTTAGTGCTGCAAGCTGTGTAGAAAAGCACAGGCAAAATGATCAGAAGGCTGGAAGAACTCTCATATGAGGAAAGGTTACACCTTGAGCTTTTCAGCTTAGGGAAAAGATGAGTAAGGAAAGACAAAGATACATAAAATTATTCACAGTGTGAAGAAAGATGATGGAGAGAGTTTTTTCTCCCTCTATCATCATACTAGAACCTCATGTCATCCAATGAAGCTGAACGGTGGGAATTTTGAGACAAACAAAAGTAAGGACTTGTCCACAAAGTGCATGGAATTTGTTGCCACATGATGTAATGATAACCACCAACGTGAATAGTTTTAAAAGGGAATTACACAAATTTATGAAGAATGTGACTGTCAATGGCTACTACTTATGATGGCTCTATATTACCTCCAGCATCAGAGACTGGTTTCTAAAGAACATGAATGGGAGAGTATGATTGTGCTCATATGCTGCTTGTGGGGTTCCAATAGGCTAGCTACTGTGGCAACAGGTGCTGGATTACATTTAGACAGGCCTTTGGACTGATCCAGCAGGTCTCTTCTTGGGTTCTTATGACTCCCTTGTTTCAAAGCAGAAACTAAGTGTCAGCTTTGCAGATATGAAGCTGCAAAAGAGAAAAATGGAGGAAAACTCAGGTTGAATCCAGATGTGAAACCACCTTCTTATATTTAGGGTCTGTGTATGACTGGGGTACCAAGTTGCATGGGTGGCCCAACTGCACAGAAACATGGCTCACTGGCAGAATTCTTCTGCAGACAGCAATGCACAGCAATAGTGGTGGAGGTACTTAAAGCATGGTTCCACTCCACTGTCAACATGGATATGTCCTACATGTGAATAATGAGTGGAAAAGACCAATATTAAAGCAGATATGAACTCCACACATAAAGAGGGACTACTGCTCAAGGTTTGCATGCAGAAAATTCTGGGTTCAATCCCTAGCATCAACAGCTTAAAAAAATTGTAGGGCTAAAAGGAAACCTTGTTTCAGGCTCTAGAATACTTCTGCCAGTTGTGGTAGGCAATAGTGGACTAAATGGACAAATGGTTTAACTACATATAAGACAACTATATTGATTCAGTTCTGTTATTTGGCTAGGGGCACCAGAATTCAGAGAAAAATCTGTCTCCTAGTTCAAATTCTGATTTGTACTGATTGCAGATCACTTCATTCAGTATTATCGCTTCATTCAATACTATCAAATGTTCACTTGCATATATTTGCACATCTGTATTTTATTTCAGTTGCATAACATCATGGCATTTGTAGTCTGAGGGCTATTAGTCTTATGCATGGATGTTTTGCAAAACTGCCATCTCTAAAAGGTTAAAGCTATTGTGTGGAAATAATGATAGTAATGGATAGATAGCAAAGAGGTCTTAATAGTGAAAATACAGATGATTTGGCAAGGAAAAGTTGAAGGTTTGTTGAAATCATGATGGATTTCAGAATGGTTGCCAGATTTGGGGTAGCTTTTGAAGTCACAGAACCCTTCATATCTGAGCTGAATTTTAATTATATTTCACTTTTTTTCTTGACAGAAAACCACCAATACCAGGTATTCCTGCTCCCCAACTTGGTTTTACCAAATCATTTTACAGATTCATCAGCCCATTTACTGGGGAAGAAACCCCACTGAACTCACTGGTGTTTTCTTCTAATTAGACGTGCATAGGATTGCATTCCTCCACATGAAAACTTTGGCATGGTTGTCTCTTAAACCTTTGGGTTTAAGAATAAAGCATCTTTGGGTTATTTATTTTGCTATTTCTCAAAATAACTGACAAATCGAAACAACCCATTTCAATATGAAATTTCTTCAGAATCATTGTTTTTATCTAGCCAGCCCTAGTCCGAGAACATGCAACCTCCTGGTGCAGAAAGAAAGTGTCAGGGAACTGCTATAGGAAGAGGGGAGGGAGGCAGGGGAATACAGAGGGCCTCCAATGCTTCTGAGGAGCAGCTCCGCATCCAGCGGTGGGGAAAGCCACACCTCCAGTGGAGAAGAGAGGGAAGGGGCCAGCCAAGCGAGGAGAGGGCTCGGAAGATGCTGCTGAGAGCCCAAGCGCCTCACCTAGCCCGGCTGGCCAGGAGGCACAGACGCCACTTCCATCACCCAGCCTGCGCAGAGGGGTGAAACGCAAGGAGGGGAGGAGGGGATTTGAGGTGTCTAAGTTTTTATGTTGGGGGAGAAGCCGGAAGGGGCCACTCCCAGATTCTGTCAGTGACTAAGACGGACATGAACTTTGGAGATCTGCCCTGTAAATAGTTTGCACAATAAAACCTGTAAAAGACAGGTTTGGAGTCCTGCCTGGTTACTCACGAGCAACCACCAGCAGCACCTGACAGAAAGGTTTTACTCAGCGGCTTAATAGTTATAGGCTCCTCTTTCGCATATGAGTTGGAAAATAGGCCAAAATGTCTTGTTCTGAAACATGACAGGGCCACAGACAAGATTCTGTGAAAAATAAAACAAAGTGTGAAGTCATAAATTTTTCAAATAAGTGAACCGATATCTCAGGCTAATTCAATGACATTAATGTGGTAGCTCTAAGATTTATTCATTAGTCATATTGCTCATAATGTGACAGCCTTCTGAGTGAATTAAGAGAGCAGAATTATTATTGGATATAGGTATTGGGGTGTGTGTGTGTGTGTGTGTGTGTGTGTGTGTGTGTGTGTTGGAGTGGGGAGAAATAATTATTCTAACACAGCCACACAGTTATAACCTACACATGGCAGCTCCACCCCATTAGTTTGTAAGCTAAGCACATGCACCAGAAGCTGAACCTGTGGTTCCGCACGTACTGAGTTTGGGATTATGAATGAAGCCTCTAGATCAGATCCCCCACCCCTAAAATGTAAACATACATGTTCTCGCAATAGCAGTCCTTGCTCAGTATGAAAGGAATGACATTTGCTGTATGTGTTGCAGTTAAACTGAGTTTAGCATATGCTTAGGTGGATGAACTTGGCTTTCCTTACTGTTCTATTGCTCATTCCTGTCTTTATGCCTGTAATTTATCCAGGCCATTGATTTTTTTTCAATTGAAACTGCTATAACTGCCTATGGAAACAGATGTGCATGTGTGTGCGCACACTCTCAACACATGTAAATCAACACTCCGGCGCCATGGTGCAAAGCTCCGTTTCCCAGAGTTGTCGACCTTTTTTCAGGAGGACGGTGCTGCCGGCGGGGCTAGAGGAGGTGGGCAGCGTCCAGCCTCCGCCTCTTCCCTGGTGCCCTCCAGAACTTGGCGCCCTGGCGCCCTGCACCACTAGCCTCTATGGGTAAGACGCCCCTGTATAAGATAATATTCTAAGCTGAACTAAAAAGTGTTTGCAGTTTCAGGCATGCAGAGGGGAGGTAACATAATGTATAAGTTCCAGGCCTAGTGCCAGTACCTGGCACCTTCATGAAGTTCTCTGATATAACAACTGTCAATCTGAGCCTTTAAAATATGCTAACTACCAAGATATGTATATAGAGGTTCCAGCTTCCATTCTTCTGAAGTAGTGGGTGCATAACTTTAATTTGTCTTCATAATTTAAATTCATTTAAAATACTCTCCATGAAGAGATGGTTTCTTCCCCCTCCCATGCTCAGTAACAGATTTTCATATTTTTTAAAGAAGAAAATACAATAATAATGACTGGGATCATAAGAGGTTTCATCCTTTTATGTTATACTAAAAAGGCTGTGATATTGCCCCAAAGTTGTTGGTCTGTTTGACAGCAGAACTATTCTGGGTACAGCTGCCTGCAATTAAAACAATTATGCAGATCCCATGTCTTTCTAGTTAAATTCGTGCTGGGCTTGTTTTTCCAGGAGGGCCTCTGTTAGTCTGGGCAGATAATGAAAGGAATTAAGAAGAGCAGGAGATATATGGAACCCCTCCTGAACAGGTCCTACCCGTAGCAGAAAGGTAGATGAAGAGCTGTAGCTCAGTGGTAAAACCCATGTTTTGCATGCAGAAGGTCCTCAAGTAACACTAGGGAAGACATCTGCCTGAACTCCTGGAGTACCACTGCCAGTCAGTGTAAAAAATACAGAGCTAAATGGATGAATCATCTGATTCCATCTAAGGAAACTTCCTATATTCCTAGCATCATTGTAGTGTTCCTACAACCTTCTTCACAGTTCCCATGGGCTTTTTCACTTCAGCATATCCTCTAACATTTCCCCGATGAAAATAGGAATTTCACATTCCATAATGATAATTTTACTATTTATACCCCACACATCTTACTGGGTTGCCCCAGCCACTCTGGGTGGGCAACTTCCAACATATATAAAAACACAATAAAACATTTTTTTTAAAAAAACCTTTCCTATACAGGGCTACCTTCAGACTGCTTGGGGATTGGATAACTCCATACCCTCCAACATTTCTCCAACGAAAATAGGGACATCCTAAGGAAAAGTGGGACATTCTGGGGTAAATCAGAAACCGGGATGGCTTCCCTAAATCGGGGACATCCCTGGAAAATAGGGACACTTGGAGGGTAAGAATTTTATAGCTAGGCAACAAGCTCCTTGGGTCTCAGCCTGCTGCCTGGGGACTATCTGAGATACTGGAGCAAAGTGCTTATACCGTTGGACTAGGACTGAACCAAACAAACTCACTGTTGTTGGTTCATATTAAAACTGCATTCTCTGAATCAACGTGTTTACTAGTTATTAGCCATGCAAACACTGGCTATCTTTTTAAAAGATGTTTTCTCTTTCATTTACTTAGTACTACCTTAATTTCATTTAATATGCACCCCACCTTTCAGTTTATACCAGATCCAAAAGGTGTGTTAGACCTACAGTGGAGAGGCAAAGATTCACATGCTGGCTCAGCCATGAAATGTAATGTATCTTTGCCACTATCCCCCAACTTAACTTCACTTACTGGACAGCTGCTGATAAGGCAAAAGTGAGAAGAACTGCCCTGCACTTTGTATAATGGAAAAACTAGGACACGATTCAGGCAAAGTTAAGCACTTGTGAAATCTTAGGATAGTACCTCCTCAGACACACACCAGAGTTCCTGTCATTCCATGAGCTACTGGTCTCTTGTCAACAATCATATTTGCCATAGGCCCATTTTCTTTACCTTGCTAGCCAGGTGCAGGAGCACTTATGCCTCAGATCCTGACCGCAAGCAACCAGCTGGACTTGTCATTTCCTCTTGCTCCTGCTTGTGGAATTCCTTACCTGTTCCTTGGCCCTCTCATTGCCTCCCTCAGGCTCTCTGTCCTTTCTTCATCCACTGCTGTTCCTGAGCAGCAGAAACTGTGCATCAGGGAAACACATGGAAGGGAAATCATTTTCTGTCTGCTTCTGCCACAGACGTTTAGCCTTATGACAGACAGCTCTAGCAGAAAAGCCAGCGTGACTGGGCATCGAACAGGACCATAGAGTTGGAAGGGGGGGGGCTAATCTAGCTCCTTCTGTGAGACAGGGTACTTCATTCCCTTCTACTTTCCCTCAGCCTTATCAGATCACCCAACTGAAGGGCCACTTTTCCTAACACCAAATTCTTTTTGCTTTACAGCCGTTGTGATAGGTTACGATTATATTAAGCTATATATATTACTTCATTTATTTCTCA